GAATCCTCCGCATCCCACATGCTGTGCTCTGCAAGCATCTCTTAACACACACATACCACACCCCTCCCAGCACCAGTAAGTTGCCTTAAGTATTCAGTTAGATATAGTTTGTAAAAGCTAGATATACCATAAAAAAGATTACATAAAAAGATTACATCAACTCTGGTGAGCGACACTGTGTGTGTTCAGGTGTGCTCTTCCTGCCACTGGGGCCTCTGCACAACATGGCAGTGTGCCCCAGTGAGGCCACAGTGAGGACTGTGCGCATGCATTAGCTGAGATTCAACGTCTTTTGCATTATGAAACTGAGCTAGTCAGGCTGGGTGGGAAGTTAGTGTGACTTTGCTTTCTGCCCTCGCAGTGTCTTCAGGGAAGGGCTGCAGGAGGTGCCGGGAGCAAGGCCCGGTGGGCCAAGCCTCTGTGAGCAGGGCTCTGGGTCTAGGCCCTGAGAGACGTTGTGGAGGGAGGGACTTGGGGCCATGACATGCAGGGGAACAGAAACCACAGGTACTTTGTTTTTTTGCTTGCGGTATTGGGTATCCAAGATTCCTGTAACCCTGAACTAATCCTACTCTTGTCTCTACTCCTAGAGCAGTCCAAAACCTCATGATAGGAAAAGAGATTGCAAGACAGGACAAGAGATCAGAAAGTGAGTCACCAAAAGCTGGAACTCACAGGTCCAGGGTGCTGTACTGCTTTGGCTTGGGCTCTTTCACCCTTGTGGCAAAAGATCTGTTCCCAGGAACAGAAGGCTTCGCCATGCCCAGCCACTGTCAGCACCTTGTACCCCTGGGGACACACTTCTCCCCTGCCTGGTGCTGCCCCACATGTGTGGTGCCCGTGCACACAGCACAGTGCTCTGGGAGTGCAGGACTGGAACCTGGGTGCTTGCATGACCCTGAAAGCCTTGCGGAGACCCAGCTGGGTGCACAATCAGGGCACACAGCAAAGTCGGGCTTCCTGAATGTGGCTGGGGGCTGCATGAGGGAAGGAGTCCTGCACTGATGGCCAGGCAGGGGAAGGGATTGAACTGCTGGTGAGAAGCAGGAGGGCTCTGGCTCCCTCTTCCTGCAGGAGGTGGGGGAGAGAGGAAAGCTCTGGAGAGGGGAGAAGAGGGGGAACGAGAGGAGAACCAGTGAGGGTTGTTTATGCCCAAGCTTCCCATGACGGAGAATAGGTTTAGGTTAGAGATCAGAAGGCAATATTTTACAGTTAGGGTGGCCAAAATCTGGAACCAACTTCCCAGGGAAGTGGTCCTCGCCCCTACCTTGGGCAAACTCAAGAGGAGGTTGGATGATCACTTGTCTGGGGTCTTGTGAACCAAGCATTCATTCCTGCCTGTGGCAGGGGTCAGGCTAGATGATCTGTTCAGGTCCCTCCTGACCCCAGCTACTATGAAACTATGAACCTGGGCCATAGCCTCTCCCATCCCTATTTATTTCCTGCCCTTCAAGACTTTGTTCTCCTCACCGATTTTCCTCCCCCTCTGGCTGTTCCCGGCAGGGCACGAGGCCCATCTCCTCATGCCCATATCCTCCAGACTGCTTTGTTCTCCCCAGCAAACCAAGCACTCCCTTTCCCCTGCTCTTGGGAGGCTTTCTCCCACACCCAGCTGTGTCCCTGGGAGGGAAAGTAATTGGGCATTTGCCTCATGGGATGGTCCCCCACACCCTTCTTGGCCACCCTGGACCAGGCACAATGGCTCTTCTGCTCTCCTGATTATTGACAACTATGTTCTGGGCAGTTGAAAGTGGGAGGAATAGATGACCCGGGGTTGCACAGCAAAGTCCTCGCCAAGAGCTATGGGAGGAAACGTGCTCGGGCTCTTCAGGCCTTGATGAGAATCTCTGCAGAAGCCTTGAGGGTGTCCCATCCCCAAAGCAGTCAGGGGTTGCAGAGACAGACACAGAATATGATCGGTGCCATGTCCTGGCGCACCTCTGCCGGTGTTTCTGAGGGTGGATTGTGTCCCCATTCTATAATTAATGGCCTTAGTTTTTTTTCACCACTTGGTGCCCTGCTCTTTAGAGTGGAAACTGTTAGGGGAAGAGCACTAGCAGTGAGCCGTGAGCCCCAGCTGCTGGTTAACAGGGCAACTGGAGTGAGCTAGTGGCCCACACCTGCCAGCGGTCAGCTGACCGGAAGAGGCAGGGCCAAGCTCACATATAGACCCCAGGGCTGAGGCCAGGATGGCAGTTCCCTACCAGCAGCCAAGGGGGAAGGAGCTCTTCCAGAGCAGCCCAAAAGGGAGAGGCCTGACTGCAGGTACAGCCTCCGAGACTGGTGTGGGACAGAGCACCCCTGGTGCAGCTTGAGTGAGGTTATAGCCGGGCAGCTGGAATTTATGTTATAGCCCAGGGGCTTGTGTTTTGTTTGCTGTATAACACCAGTGGCTTGGGTGAGGCTACTTGGGGATGGAGGAGACCTCATAGGGGACCCACAGCAGCATGGGGACCCCGGTGCCAGAGAGGGTGCAGCATTTTGGACTGCACCGACCCTGGTGCCAGAGAGGGCGCAGCATTTTGGGGTGCACCAACCCCGGCGCCAGAGAGGGTGCAGCACTTTACAGGGCCATGGAGAGCCCGAGCGCCAGTGAAGTTGCAGTGTGAGCCAGGGCCTGCGGAGAGCCCAGGGAGGACCAGGGGCCACATTCCAACAAGGCCCAGACTGGACAACATCAGTTCCATCTGTGAGGCTTGGGCTGCGGTGTAGGGGAGGAAAGGAGCTGCAGATAGTGCCCCCTGGCATTGGGACAGGAAATGGGCAGCCTCCTGCTTAATTACACTTATAAATCAATGAACAACAAGGCATGGGAGGCAAGAAGATGGGCAGTTGGCCCATACCAGGTGAGCGGGGCCACCAGTAGATGGATCCCAAAGAGGCACCTGTTACACAAGGTAATCGCCCATGTCCCTCATGATTCATGTGATGTCCCTGATGTGATTTATGTCCCTGATGACTTTTGTAAGGTTCCTGAGATAACAGCAGTGCTGTAGCTGTAGATGTAGCTGTAGCTATGTACAGATGAGGGTAAGAGCCAGCAATCCTGGGTTTGTGGGTCAGTGGACAAATCTGGGGTTTCCTTTGGTGTGGAGAGTGAGCAGGGAGCTTTACCAAAAAGAAAAGCTGTTTAGGTAGTGCTAAAAAGGACCAGGGTTCATTACTTGTCTCTGGTGCAGATACCTTGTGCAAGCATCATTCAGGCCCTGTGTTTCCAAGAATTTACTGTGCAACGAGCGTCGGTTGTGTTTATGTCACTCGGCTCAATCCCAATGAGAAAATAAGGGAGTTCTTGGGTCCAAAAATGTCCTGAAATCACTCAGAAATCAAGACAGGCAATTTTGGTATTGTGTATTAGTCTTCCTGAATTGTTACTGCCAATAGCACTGACTAGTGAAAGAGTCCCAAGGGATCCTGGCGGATTAGTTTCAGAAACTGGCCATCATTTTCTCCAATCAATGGTGTTAAGTTGGAAAAAACTCAGTGAGACACTAAATCATAGCAATGTAGCAATTTATTTTTAGCAAACGGTACCAGACATTAACACAGCTGTATTCTTTCTCCCAATAGTGGTAAGATTATAGAGAGAAGTGTATGAGAACCGTTGCTCAGGAAAGGAATGTCTTCTCCTGTGAAAAGTGTTTCCCCCTTCCCCCACCCCATTTAAATGTTTGAGTTTAGGGGTTGGGGTTGAAGTGGGGTGGGGTGGGGTGGGGTGGGAGTGGATGTTCCTTAAGAAAATGTCATAGTTTCTATTACTCCAAGGGCTGGAAGGGACCTGGAAAGATCATCTAGTGCAATACTAGATCTATTGATGAGGCAGCCACTGTCTCTGCACTGTTTCAGCTGATCCTTTAGTTCAGACTTATGAGTGGAGAAGCAGAATCCCAGGAGGTAGTTCTTTGAGCTGGTAGCTAATTTAGTGTTGTTACACCAGTAAACTCTACACACATTTTTTCCCCTTTGTTAAGCAACAAATTCAGACCCACCTGCAGACTCTGAAGGGAGAGCGAGAGAAGCTCACAGAGTTTCAAGTGCGTGAAGAAAGGGAAAGCCAGGAGTGGATGGTAAGTTCCTGTAGTCAATACCCAGCTGATAGCTGAGGATATGGCGTCTCTTGTTTTAACTGTGTGTTTCTGGAGACCCATGCAATCACACACATACAATATTGTATATGAAGAAACACATCCAATATCTTTGGATATGTTTCTTTATATATAATACTGTATGTGTGTGATTGCATACAGACAGCCTTTTTCTCCATGAGTCTGGATACACGTGTGTGTGTGTGTGTGTGTGTGTGTGTGTGTGTGTGTGTTCCTTGTATCTTTGTGTGTGTATACAGCAATTTTGTTCCCGTATTTCTGTGTGAATGCATACAGGGTTTAATTCAGGATTGTTCTTTACACCTGCACAAAGGGGTAAGAACACATTTTCTCCTCTGTCTGGGCTACCCACATCACTGAGTACAGTGCCCCCCTGCATGAAGTGCCCCTACTGTTGGGGTTCTGTACTTACTCCCATGCATCTGGGCACGGAGGCAACACAGCCTGGCTTCCAGCCTTTAAATAGGCTGGCCAGCATAGCTGAGTCGGCAAAGCAAATCATGTCTGGCTCAGATACCTCCCCACCATAGGAAGCAGAGATTAAACTGTGACTCTCTTATTCGGGGCAGAATGTGAAGTGCTGGTGCAGCCACTAATGAGGCTTAGAGCCTACACTTCAATCTCTGCTTGCGATTCTTCACTTCATCTGTGTGCATGCTTATATTTACGTACATTATGTGTGCTCGCAGTGCCTGTACAGATACCTTTCTACAGATCTTTGGAGTTTTATGTACTATCCTTGTGTGCTCCCATTATGTTTTGTGTGTGCACACATGTACTATTTGTGTGTGTATCCATGTATACACTGTCTCTGTGTATAAGCTCACTATGTGGAGGTACAGAAGCTGTTTGAGCTTGTGTACTCTGCATATTTGTATACACATGGGGGGGTGCATGAGTGCATGCATGTGTGCGTACAGTGTTCTGTGTGTTACTGAGACCAAGCCTATGCTGCAGTTAGGAAGTTTGGCTATAACCTTAACGAGCTCAGGTAATGAGAGCAGTGAAGGTGTGGCAACAAACCAGCTTCAGCTTGTGTTGCCCAAGCTTGCCTAAGACCCTGGATGTGTATCTGGGTGGTTAGCTGCTGGTTACAGTATAGAGAGTGTGTGTATACACGTGTTCAGTCTCCCGGTGTATGTGCATCCAACAATCAGCCATCTGCTGTATGAGAGGATGGGGATGGTCACAGGCCAGTGAGAATGGAAGACCATAATTCTCCCGGCACTTGCAGGTTCTTGACAGACCTTGTGCAAGTCCTGAAAACACAGGGTAGTATTTTTCCCTCCATCCGTGGGGTGGGCATTGGAGTTTCTCTAGTGCAATCATGAAAGGCCAGGAGCTGGTGGATAGTAGTGAGAGCTGCTAGTGGAGGATTTGGTTACAGCCCCTGGACTCCAGAATTTACTCCTTCATCAACTTGCCCCAGTTTGACTGACAAATGTCAAATCAGTGACCTGTAGCAGGGGTTGATGTTTGTGGTAGTAGTATGAGTAGGGCAGAGATAAGTAGACAAGTCTTCAAAAAGAGGCTAGATAATCATTTGAGCCCAGAATTCATTTGAGCCCAGCATTCTTTGCTGCCCAAGGCAGGGGCCCGGACTTGATAATCTGCTCAGGTCCCTTCCGACCCTACCTACTATGAAACTAAGTAAGCTATGAAGAATTTAGGAGAACACTTCCTTTTATTCCTGTTTATCAGCTCAATAGCAATGATGGGAATGAATTAGGTCTTGGCACTCATTCAGTTTCTGTTGTTCAGTGTTTGCCAAATATTGGGTAAGGTTTCCTTGGTTGTGTTTAGAGTGCTTATGACTCCAAGGTGGTCTCTCATCCCAGTACGACCTAGGCCCAGCATGGCTGAGCTTCCAGGACCAGGTGCATTCAGTCTGGTATGGCTGCTCATTGCGAGCGAGCTAGAGGATGGGGGCTTTGTTATGCCCTCCTCATAGGGCCTGAGTGCTGTGGATCAAGCGATGGTGTTTTCCTGCTGGATTGGCTGTTGAGGTGTTTTCATGGGACTTGGGAAACCCAAGTCCCAGCTATGGCAGAAACTGTGTAAATAACCATGAGCAAATCACCCAGGCCCTGATCCTCCCAAATTGCTCATGATTAGAACCACAAAGTCAAAATCTCCAATTCTGGGTTTTTTTTCTCTTCCATTACCATTTCTAGCAGTTGATTTTTTATTTTTTTAAGATCAAAAGCCTGCAAATTTTTTTAAACCCCTCTTCCCCACACCGCCCCCCCCCCCGAACTCCTGCCCCTGCTTGTCAATTCTGGGGTAAAAAAATGTGCAATTCAGGGCATGGGGGTTTGCATCATGGTTTTTGGACATTGATCTCAATATTTGGGTCAAAACCCTGCAATTCGTCTTTTTTCTTCTTTGCATTTTTGTAAGTGGCTCAAAGCAAATTTTTTTAAACCCCTCTTCCCCACACCGCCCCCCCCCCCGAACTCCTGCCCCTGCTTGTCAATTCTGGGGTAAAAAAATGTGCAATTCAGGGCATGGGGGTTTGCATCATGGTTTTTGGACATTGATCTCAATATTTGGGTCAAAACCCTGCAATTCGTCTTTTTTCTTCTTTGCATTTTTGTAAGTGGCTCAAATTTTGGGTCAAAATCTGGACTCGCTGTTTCTCAGGGATGCAGTGAGGGGGGTGGGGAATAAAATCGCACTTCAGTGCCTAAGTCTGCTGAGAGGTCTCATGGATGGAGTAGTCTCCCAGCTATTTAGTAAAATAGACCCATATTGAGTCCAGGGCTCCTGTGTAAGGCTGCTGCCAGGACCCTGTCTAGCTACTTGAATAGCTGTGACCTCAGTGGAGATGTACCTGACTGTGGAGGAATAGCATGGGCCAAAGCCTCAGCTACTCAGTTGCTAAATGAGAATGGGGATGCATGTGTGATTCAGTTACTGTATTTCATGGCCTGGTCTAAAACAGTGCAGCCCCAACACTGCTTTAGCAGATCTCTGCTTTTCAGGGGTATCTTCAGGATTGCAAAACAAACTAGGTAGAGTACAGTTCACTCAACCCACCCCTTCACTGCAACCCTATATCAGAAACCGAGACCCAGACTCTGCTCCCACTCCTAAGTGGGTCAGTAGATTTAGGTGCTTCAGTGCAGTTTTCTTCCACCCTGCTGGGTCCCTGAAAAACAGCTGATGCAAAAGGAGGGCCGATTGTTTGCCACCACCGCTGCCTCCTCACTTTTTTTTTTTAATGCCTCAGCCTTAAGGAGATGGCAATCGTTACAAAAACGGATTAATGCATGGATTTTTCAGGAACTTGAGCAACGTGGACTAGAATTACACTTAGGTAATTAAGTCTATTTGGATGTCTAATAGGCAGTGATGACAAGAGTGAGGCCATTTATTTACTGGGGAAGCCCTACATAAGACATGGCTGCAAACCCAGCAAGCTACATTCAAACCTAGAATCAGGAGAACAATGTCCAGTAGTGGGGAAGGGGGTGTTTTGTCTCCCTCTGGGGTGGGTTGTGGCAGTGATGCCATGCTCTCTACTGAGGTGAGGGCTCCCAGGAGAGCAGAGCAGTTGTGCAAAGGGCAGCTACTGATACAGCTACAAGATGTGAAGTGATGAGCACAGGCTCAGCGCTATGACAAGGGTACTTTCCTTTCTGGTCAGAGCTGACCACAGCCCTGCCCTCCTGCCTGACGTGCCAGTCAGAGAACTGTTGGATTTTGGGGTGTCTTATGAAATTCTTCCCACCAGGCCCATGAAACATCTCTCAACTTTCCCCATCAGTGGTCATGGACCTTTCTGAACAGAGGGGTGCCATCTCTGTATGAAGCATGCATGGGGTACTTGAGGGAGAAGCTGCGGAAAACAGGTCTGCAGGTGACCTTACACTTCTCCTTAGATATCTGTAGCAGCCGGGGTAGAGATCATGTCTGCCTCTCCTTCACAGGGCACTGTTGTGACCAGTCAGGCTGTCGTTGGGCTCTCCTTCAAGTCGAGGTGATGTATGAGTCCCATACAGCAGGAGAGATCATGGGCACCATGAACTGCCCGGTGCAGGTGTGGTTTCTTGTGCAGGGCAAGCTCACCAGCGGGTTCATGGTCACCGATGATGGGGCCAATATGGGCAAGGTGGTCTGTGATGCCAACTTTGATGACATCCGCTGTGTGGCACACAAGTTGCACATTGTTGATAGGGATGCCTTGGAGGGGGACAGGGCTGCCGGTGATGGCGCCAGCCAGGACCACCAGCAAGCTCATTTCCAAATGCAGGAAGGTGGCAGCTACTTCCACTGGAGCATCAAGGGGGGCAAGATGCTGTTGGACAAACAGAGCTGAACATCCTGCAACACAAAATCAAGCAGGATGTGGAGATTCGGCAGTACTCCACATTCCTGATGCTCGAGAGGCTGGTGGAGCAACAGAAGGCCATCCATTATATGGCCCTCCTTGGGGAGATTGGGACCGGCCACCCCCTGAACAAAGCTTTGTGGGATACCATCTCCCATATATCGGTGGTCCTCAACCCTTTCCTTTAGGCCCACAAGAGCCTCAGTGCTGCTGCTGCCCTCCTTAGCCAGGTGATCCCCACAGTGAGAGAACTTCAGAGTCAAATTGCGAGCTTCCAGGGGATCATTGTTCCTGGCTGGGGCCAGCCACTGTCACCAGATGTGCAGGCAGTGGTGAGGGGGCTGAAGGAGGGCATCAGGAAATTGCTTGACAGTCCAGTGCAGTCCACGTGCTGGCTGCCATGTGTGACCAAAGGGTGAAGGGCACTGGATGTGGCAGCCAAACACTGAATCAGTGGATGGAGGTGCTGGTAATGAAAGTCAGGGAGGCAGAATGACAGAGGCAGGGGGATGTGGAACAGGGGGATACACTGTCTCATGCTAGCACATCATCCACGAGCTCATCACTTGAGGCACCGCAGAGGCAGCCACATGTGATGCCAGCCACATCACTCCTTTGTGCCTTACCT